TCGCACGGGTTAGAATCTAGTCCTACTATATATAAAAAGAAAATGAAACATAATATGTTGTTTCCCGCCCATTTTGCCTTAACATCAGTCCAAACATTTGGGTCAATCAAACACATCAATTATCACATCTTCTCTATAAAGAATGGGCCAGGGGATTGCTTGGACACATGAAGATGTTTCTACCTATCATTTCGGTGCATTGTACCAAAGTCCAAACTCCAAACACTCTTTATTTGCAAATACTCCGCAATCTCTCTCTCTCTCTCTCTTTCTCTCTCTCTCTCTCTCCATTGGGAACATAGGAGACGGCTGAAGGTGGGTATTTTCCTTATGTTGCTCTGTGAATTTCATTTCATGAAGTAAATTGAAAGTGTTCTACAGTTTCGAACCCTATCCTCCGGTCACTGCTGCCCTAATTGTCAGCTTTAATTTGCCAAACCAAACAGAGGATTAGAGGAACATCATAACGGGAATAATAAAGATCCGCCGACCCCTGTACGGCCGAGCTCGGTCAGTGGCTACGACCCATGGATGCCTGGCCTCCGGTCCGTGTTGACGTGGTTCTCCTATTGTGACGTGGTTTCAATTAGTTTTGGCTTATGTGCCCTGCCTGTAAGCTTATTCTGAGTCGTTCATGTATTTTGCAGAAAGCTATCCTCCTCCCATAGTGGGAGAGGTGGTTCTGAACACGAACATGGAGATTCTCATGCATACTCCCTCATCCATTAATTCAACTTTTTTCCTTAAAACTACTTTGAATAGTATAGTGTATGTACAATGACACTAAAAGATGAGAATTAATTTCCAATCTCCAATCCAAGATTGCAAGGAGAGCGCAAGCAAGATTCCAACACTTACGTTTAGGTTATTATTGTTTTCATTTCTTGCTTCTCCTCTATTATTGCTTCAAACATCAACTTCAAATGTTTTCCCTTCTCTCATTTTTAGGAGAGTAGAAGTCTTTGTACCTTTATAAACTAATCCACATTTGTTGTTCGAAATGGCTTCAAGAAAGCCTATTAAATTCACGAATCATGTAAGATTATCCAACTTTATTGATTCCTTTCTTTTACCAGAGTTTCTTGAATTATTATTTGATACGGAGTATTTTACAAATTCTTTACCTTTAATTATTTTACAGGAATTCATGATTTCTCGAATGTGCTCCTTAGAGCATCAGCATCCCAAGATGCTTCAACAAAGTTTTTTCCAATTTGTTACTTATTGTTTAACCTACACGTCATTTTTTTAAACAACTAAAGCAACTTTTACCTTCATCCCCGAATTTGTTCAAGCACCCTAAAATAATATGCATGTGATCCCACAAAATATTTATACTCACCCATCTCTAAAAAAATTTCACAGTTTGATTTTTGGTCAAAATGTAGCACTTTTTAACCATGAATTAAATATAATTTAAAAGAATTAAATCTTATAAAAATTGATATATCAAAACTAATTTTTAAAATAAATCTAATTTTATTAAATTTATATTATTACTAAATATTTTTTTTCATTATTGGTGGTCAAAGGGTGTTACAGTTCGCCCAAAAAAAATCAAAATGTAGCAATCTTTTACAGATAGAAAAAACACTATATATTTAGTAATTAAAAAATGGGTTGGGCTGGGCTTAGTTTAATAAATAACAAAAGTACATATGAGTTGGGTTGTATTAAACAAAACCTTAGTAATGGCTATATGGGTTTCCATAGGGCTAAAGTACCATCAGTAGATATGTACTACCATATTCTAGAGTGTTTGTCTAATTTTTATTTTTTGCATTCAATTATTTTTATCTTTGAAATTATTTTATCATCATATTTTTATTCCCATATTTATATTACATTGTATTGTTCTTTTAACCTTAGATTCTCGGGTCATATTATGATCCGATGGCCCTACAATGCTTCGTTCGTAAATTGATGGTTCCTACTCTCTGCCCACCTCATCCCAGCACCCCTGACCCCCTTTCTCATTCGCCAATTGGCTATAGTAATTACTATAGCCAATCGATGAATGGGGGAGGGGGCTGGATGGTGTTGGGATGGGGTGGACAGGTAGGGGGCAGGGGATAGGAGTTGGGGGTAGGAACCATCAATTTTACAAACTGAGTACCGTAGGGGCCGGGTCATAATTATGACCCAGGATTCCAATGTCAAAAGATCCCCGCCGTATACATTATACAAACTATTTATATAAATTTGAAGTTTTGTAACCTATCATCTTATCCCTAATTGGGAATTCTTTATATGTTTCATTATGTTTAGATAATAGTTCCACCGTGCATCGCACGGGTTAGAATCTAGTTGGAGTTGAAAAGTAAAAATAATTGATTTTATTTAAATAAAATTGATTTTGTTTTTTTTAAGGAAAAAAAACAAATAAATTCATCCATTATATGTCCTAAAATGTTTTTCTCATTTACAATGGTTAAATTTTATTTATTTTCTTTAATTATTTTTGTTTATTATTTGATAAAGTACTATAGTATTGTCACCTCTTATTCTGTACAATTTTTAATGTAGTTTTTAAATATATAAA